AAAAAAAATCCTGTAAAACAAGTCTCATTTGAAAATAATAATAAACTTACTATTTGGATCTTTATCCAAATAAGTTTCCTCAATTGTATGTTATTTCACAAAAAGAAAGACATGACTTCTTAAGAGATTTATGTACCAAAGTAAACATAAAAAGTTATATGAACCAAACAAGGAACATTTCCTATTTGGACAAGAAATATACTTTCTTTCCCCATCCATAAACTTTTATCAGTGTTGACTTCCCAGTTTTCTCTTTCTAAACTCTATCACATGCTCTATACTACTTTTTCTTTCTTTTTTTTCAGTTCCCAGTCATTTATATTGAGGTAGGTAATATATTGTACATGTATGTTGGAATGAAGACTCACTACAAGTAACATTTAGTTACCTCTCTCCTTCCAATCACTACTTTAACAAAACTAACAAACACTATTTTCCCTGTCTACCTTAAATTATTTGGGAAAATTAGGTTATATACAAATGAAAGAAAAATTACTTGAAATGATTCAATTTAATAATATCAAAAGAGGTACTCGTATGAAATATCATCTGCAGTACCTCAGAGCTAATAAACTTATTTTCCTTCTCTCAGTCTAAAATCTACTGAAAATGTTGCTAATAATTATAGTGCCAATTTGCCAAGCAATTAACTCTAATACCCAATGTCATTCTTACCTGAAAATCTGCCCCTCTACTCAAAAGTATTTATTTCAATTGTTTCTATGAACTCATAATATTTTTTACCTATAGAATCCTAAGAAGAACCGAATTTTCCAATGGCAAAATATCAATCTGCAAAGGGGACTTACCCAACTCTCCTTCCCACTGTCTGAGGAGCCCTTCTTGGGTCTCTACAAAGTCATTCTGGTGAAAGAGTCTACAAATACAATACAGCACTCCTTTGAAGTGAAAGAATATGGTAAGAATTATGCAGGAATAAGGCATGTATAACACTGTGATATTTATACAGGAAGCAAGCAAGGTCTATCAAACAGTCTTTGAAAATTACCAAGTTTTTTTGTCCACTTGAGTATTTGCTAAGCACTTGTCATATATTATCTCATTTCATCCTCTCTACAGTCATCTGAGGCATATACAATTATTATATTCACTTTACAAATGAGCATATAAACACTAAAAATATAGTCATTTATCAAAATCATAAAACCAATAAGAAACAAGAGAAATTTCAATAATTACAAGTGATTATTCAAATATTCATTGCTAACCCATACATTGTGTCAACTACATGCACCATGAATATATTTATTTGTCTTATAACTGAAGGTATTTCTTGGCATTATCTCATAATTTTCTAATTTATTCTTGTTGTAATAATCAACTATGATTATAAATCCTAGTAATTCAGTACTCAAATAAATTATAGTTCAACTCTGTAATCAATTAAACTATAACAGTTAATTTAACAATCAGCTAATTACTAAATCAGATATTGAATCCATCTAATTAGTTACAAATTATGTGGATTTTCTAATAAAGGTAAATGTTTCATTCCATGGCTGAGAGGTCTTATTATAAAAAAAACTAATTCCCAAAGCTCACCAGAACTTCCATGAAAATCACAAAATAAAGTTATATTATAGGAGTAACCTCTTACACAACTCTGGGAGAGACTAGAAAATAAGAATCTATCAGGATCACTTGACAGAGAATATTGCTAACCACACCTGAACATTTAATGGGGATGGATTGATTCAAATTTGCAAAGGACCTGGGAAGAAAACATCTTCAGTGGCCAGAGTGTACCATGCTGGGGAACTTATGGAAGGACCTAGAAAGGGCTTTGTGGAACCATAGCTGAGGGTATGGTGATGGCCTGGGATTTTGTTAATTAGCAAAGCTAACATTTAGGAAGAAAAGCTGCACATAGAGAAAGACTAAGGACTTACTGGAATCTATTTGTCCCTCTGCTGCCATATCTTACTGTGATGATCTTCAGAGGCTTATAATACTATTTTCCTTCTACCTTTGAAATCTGGTGCAAACTCAGAGAACAACAGTCTAGGAAATATAGTGATATCTCAACCAAGGTGACACAGTACAATGTGCCCATGGTAATGACTAAC